CGCTAAAACGCAAAGGGAAATAAATATGAAAAATTTTCAACATCATATATTCTAAGTTCAGCAGAAAATGAAAGTTTGTTTTTATTCTGTTGCTAGCGGCTAAATATTCGTAAAATGCAAACAATAGAAAAAAAGAAAATCCATGGAAAAAACAGAACGTAACGAAACCTAAAGTACGCACTTTACAAAACGAACGAAACTACTCGTAATAAATGACCAACGGCCATTTGAAATACAAGAAGGACAAAAAGAAAAGTGCAAAACAAATGTACACATTTTATTTTTAATGGACAAAAGCAGAAAGTTGTGCTAGGAATTTCACTTAAACTTAGTGTAAAACTTTGGAATATGCCAACAAAAAAGTTTTATTTTAGTTGCAAGACTGAATGTGCGGTCATAAGTGAGAATAGCGGATTTGGTGGAAACATATTGTGTCAATAAATTTATTGTACTGGGATATTATTTTATGAACTTACTAGGAGCGATCTGTAATATTTAATGTTCGCAATTGCAACATTACGTGGGGAGTAAAATATTAATATGTCAATATCATCATATTCATGTAGCCAGAAAACAGAGCTGGGCATGAAAATTATATGAATTTATCACTGAAAAATATTCTTCAATAAATCCACGCCTGAAAAAATATTCTTCAATAAATCCACGCCTGAAAAAATATTCTTCAATAAATCCACGCCTGAAAAAATATTCTTCAATAAATCCACGCCTGAAAAAATATTCTTCAATAAATCCACGCCTGAAAAATATTCTTCAATAAATCCACGCCTGAAAAAATATTCTTCAATAAATCCACGCCTGAAAAATATTTTTAAATAAATCCACGCCTGAAAAATATTTTTAAATAAATCCACGCCTGAAAAATATTTTTAAATAAATCCACGCCTGAAAAATATTTTTAAATAAATCCACGCCTATTGTAGTCCCTGGAATATATTTTTTAATAGGTAGTTAGTTTGAAAAGAGGGGTGGTTTATACCACCACATGTCCGTTGTAGGACATACACTTAAGGGGACCCACCCCCCCCATTCTCGGTCCCAAATTTCAAAAACAAAAAATAAGTGAAAATCTCAACAACTTTTGAAGATATAGCCGATTTATTGTGCTAGCATCAAGTGACGGTAAGAGAGCTTCTCAGATTGGATTAAAGTAATAATCCAATTTGTTTAAAATTTTGACACGTTTCTCTAGGAGTGTATAGCTCTCGTATGAACTAGGATAAAGCCAATCGGTGAAGAAATTCCTTATTTTTTAACTTAGTTTGTGGTCAAACATAGGCGATTTTTCAAAAAAAAAAAAAAAATTCAATGTTCCGCCATTTTGTTAATTGTTGTGTCAATAATTCTAGTACTCTTTCTAACGCCGTTGGAATTTTCCGATTCCAACGTTCCAGTGAGGAGTTATCATGCCCGCCATCAAAAATAAGGACTTTTCTTTAATCACAAAAAACATTATTATATATTATAGCTTTGTGCAGTCCCAAGAGTTTGTAACGCCGCGAAATATTGGTCCCACCTTTAAGTATACCGATCGTCATATCTCGACTAGCTGAGTCGATCTAGGCATTATACCATTATAATTTGTAAACACGATACAGGCCACAGTTATGGACCAATCTTCACGAAATTTTGCATGTATGATGGGTTTTGCCCAATGAAGACCCCTATTGTTTTTGGTAAAGATCGGTTAATATTAAGGGGGTGAAATGGACCAAAAGCTTAATTTTTCGTCGATTTTCTGGTCACTCCAGAAGCCGCAATTATGGCAATTATGACATCGCGAAATTTTACATGGAGAAGGGGATCAGGCCAATGAATAAGCATACCTGTTTTGATAAAGATCGGTCAATATTTAGCGGGTCAAATGGACCCTGACTTTTGTGTGAAAAATGGCAAAATTTGTATTATATAGCGTATATATTTACTGCTGATGGGCATAGATCCAATATGTTGATAATATATCCAAGAGGAGAGGTTGGCCTTTAAATTGATACCAATTATATTGTGGTATGTACTCGGATGTGGGAGTTACACGTACATATTTACAGGTGCTTACGTATTCAGATATTATTTAGTAAACCAATACAACACTGGATGTCGGAAATATAGCCCTGACTGCCTTTATATGTTACATTAGGTTCCAGTTATGTTCAAGGACAACGCCTATAATTTTCAGTAATGATGGGATAATAATTTTGGGATGAAGTGGACTGAAAACTTTTTTTGTGTTTTTTGAGTCGATCCATAGGCCCCAATTATAAGCCGAACATTACAATGCACGGTGAGGGAATCTGGACAGGTGATTAGAAGTACTGTAGTGAATATTAGTAATATTAGTTGACCTCTAGCCGGACAAGAGGTTGCAAAGTTAGTTATCGTGGAAGTTGTGTAGGGTATAATATGGTCGGCCCGACTATACTGCTCCGCTCACTGGTTTTTAAATTTTTCTTCCTTTTTAAATCTTTAAATATATATGGGCAAAGTTATAAACCTTAACAAGGATTGATATTAATTTACCAGCCCATTTAAAGTCTTAAGAATAAAAAATCGTGAATGGGGGGTTGGTTCCCTTAAGCCATTGGAGGCCTGTTGTGCGCTCTAGGAAGGAGAGGTATTTAGACTAAATTATTCTTAATGATTGGTCTCCCTATTCTTCTGGGAATTCTGTGTTCTTGCTGAAGTCCTTTAGAATTTTCCATTCAAACCCCCTTAGGTCATTTAGTTCAGGAATAGTGTCATTTTTCAAGAATTAGGTTCGGATGCATGCAAAAGCCGGGAACAAATGTTCCTGGAACAAATGTTCCAGAGTTAGAGCTTAACCATCTTAGACACTCCGTTATAGCTTGAACCTCCGCCTGTAGGATCGTATTGTGATCTGGTAGGCGAAGTGAGATTTCAGTCCCCGGTTCTTCAATAAAAAGTCCCAGTCCCCTCTTTCCCGCTAGCCGGGAGCCATCCGTGTAAGAACAGTTCCCCGGAGGCATATATGCTAGTGTTCCGCTGTCCCATGAGTCTCTTTCCGGTATCAGGATTTCACATGATGTGATTACTCTTGTTTCAGGTATTCGGTCTGACACAAAGTGGCTAATTGAGTATCCGATCGTATCCTGTAGTATATTTTTGTGCGATCCACTAGTTCATGGCTGCGATGGCCGCTTCATATTTTATTTGCATGTCAACTGGATGTATATACAATATAGTTTCCAATGCCCTGGTATGTGTTGTCCGCATTGCCCCACATATGCCTAGACAACTAGTTATTTGGACTTTCTGTAATGCTATTACATTACATTTTTGTCGTTTGCTGTCCACCAGACTACAGACGCGTATGTTAGAATTGGATCCAGTGTACCATCTTTGGGTTGAAACCCCATTGAAAACCCACGGCTCTTCTACAGAAAGACCAGCATCTATGGGCCTTTTCGATCCGTTGTTGTATGTGGTCTTTCCATCTAAGTCTTCTATCTAGGATGACACCCAGATATTTGACTTTATTTGATATGGCTATCACTTTGTATGGCCTGCCGCTTTATATGGTTAGAAGCTCTTTATAGCATCTCGTACCATTGATTCATCGATCTTATTATTTATGGATGGGTTCGGTGGGAAGTGAGCGTTCATCAGAAGCCTTATTGTTTCTTCAGTTGTTTCCATGCTGTAGCCATCGCTATCTACCATTGTTTCGGCTTGGGTGTGGGTTTTTGACAGACAATTTTTTATTTTTGAAACGTCGTTTACGCGTCTTGCGTTTGGTGGTTCTTGTCAAGTTGTTGTATTTTTTCTGCTTATCATGGAAGTTGTCCCAGTATACTGTAGATTTCTTGCGACGTGCTCTATTATAAAGTCTTCGGACCTCTTTCCCTTTATTTCGAATCTCCCCGGTCATCCAGGGTTTCTCGAAGAGGACAACATTCTTCGAATGACTTTACTATTGCTTCCGCTATGTTATTGACATTTCTGTTTATATCGTCAGTGCTTAAGCTGTCATAGTTATGTTGCCCTAACCTCTCTTTGACTAGTTTTCCGAATTTTATCCAATTTGTTTTGGTCTTGTTTCGAAAATATATGGGTTTCGGCGTAGGCTGTAGGATTTTAAACCTAATATATCTGTGGTCCGAGAAGGAGTATTCTTGTGAACCTCTCCATTCCTGTACCTCGTCTATTAGGTTCGCTGAATATATTGTTATGTCTAAAACTTCTTCTCTAATTATATTAACGAAGGTAGGTTTGTTGCCTATGTTAAGAGTAATTAGGTCGTTAGTATTATGATAATCTAAAAGGGTTTCACCCTTAGTATAAGTACTACCCCACGCAATGTGGTGAGAGGTAGCATTGCTAACAACCAGTACTTCGTTAACTATTTCTTTTGCTCTTCTCATCAATCGCTGCAGCTCTGCCGTTGGTGGTATCGGAGACAAACGGGAGATAAACTGATACCAGGTAAATGTTCCCATTCATATGCTTCAGTATGGTTGCGTCCGGTGTTGACAACTCTGGAGAGAATAAAAAACATTCATTTTTTGCGACATATTATACAGGTTCTCGGTAGGGAACCTGTATTTGCATAGAATAATTGGTAATTTATGGGGTTTAATCCAGACACCTTGTTTTTTACAGTCCATGGTTCCTGGATTAGACCGATGTGTATATTTTTTAATAATTCCACGCCTATTTTAGTCCCTGAAAAATATTTTTTTTTTTTTTTTAATAAATCCATGTCTATTGTATTGTAGTACTTGATAAAATATTTTTAATAGCATTTTTGGCATTTATAGAATAAAACGGCATATACATTAGAACTTTTTACCGGGTTAACCTACTTTATGAGGATTTATTTGACATATGTACAAAGGAAATGACGATTGAAACCCACTGGGTTAATGAAATCCGGTTAAATGTAAACGTACTATAAGCACAATTTTATTTAAATTCATATTTTGATTTTTGCAATTACTCTGATTTTTTATTTATCTCCAAACAATTTATTGTTCATTTTTATTTCCCATAATGTATTCAATGGTCTTTTGAACATCATTGAAATCCTTGGAGAATTTCGTATACATTTGATGAGCAGCATCTTGCATTTCCTGATCCAATTCCTGCACCGTCTTCAATGCAGCCTCAACATATGAACGCAGCTCTTTGTTACGCAATTGAACACTATGATCATTGCTATGGGACATATTCGATTCAATCTTTTCCAAATAACGTGAGATTTCATTATTTTTCTTTACCACCTGACTAATGAGATGCATAAATTTTTCCATTGACTTCTTTTGTTCATGTTGTTGGGAACCAAATAATTTCTTTGTAATATCCAAAACTTTCTGACCCTTCTCTTGCAACGAGGCACGATGTGTATTGTAAGAGGGTTGCTCCTCACAGATCAAACCAATTTGTTCGGTACATGGCAAATCGCTCCATTCATAGTTTTGGGTTTTAGCACAAATATGGACACAGTGTTCATTGGAACCGGCATTGGCTGGGCTGCCTTCGGACCAATTGGTAAAGTCCATACGTTTGCCTGAGGATGACCAATAGAAGGGACGTTTTGGATCCTGATTGGTATTGAATTCGTCATTGGCACCCAACCACAAGTTGATGGGACGTTCTGGTAAAGATCAAGCAATTATTCAAAATTGTCCATAATAATTGTGTATCAATACTTACTGAAGGTAGAGCTAAGAACTTCCACTAAGGCCTCATTTTTGGCTGCCGACTTAATTTCCACCAATTGCAAGTTTCGGCGGGAGCAAGCCTGTTGGGCACTTAACCAATTGTACTGAAATGAAAAATAGAAAACATATTTCAGATTAAAAATATTTTTCCGGAAACAAAAATAAATACCTTTTGCTCGGCATCAATTAAATAACGACGACCATCCCGACTATTATACCATTGGGGTTCTGCTATTACCACACCCACAAACAAGAGGGTTAATAGATATTTTAAAGCTGTCATACTAATACCGATGTCTGCCAATGCACAACTGATGTCTTGATCGATTTCATTTTCAGTTTTATATAAATAAAAATGATTTTTAAAATTATACTAAACGACAAAATTTTTTGACATCGATTTCGAATTTACCTCAGCATATCACATATTGTAAAACCGTGTAATTTAGGTTATTGTCCACAAAATAGCATGTTTGGCAAAAATTATCGGTCAAAATATATTTGTGATTGAGTAAGCGGAAATTATGGAAAACAATACTGAAAATAACCCAAAACAGGTGAACCTGGCATTAAAATAAAGTGAAACATATTTTTAAAAAATATTCTGAAAAGCTCTAGTCTTTTTTTATAAAAAATAATATAAAAAATCCACGCCTATAGCTCTAGTCTTTTTTTATAAAAAATAATATAAAAAATCCACGCCTATAGCTCTAGTCTTTTTTTATAAAAAATAATATAAAAAATCCACGCCTATAGCTCTAGTCTTTTGTTTATAAAAAATAATTTAAAAAATCCACCCCTATAGCTCTAGTCTTTTTTTTATAAAAAATAATTTAAAAAATCCACGCCTATAGCTCTAGTCTTTTTTTATAAAAAATAATTTTAAAAATCCCCGCCTATAGCTCTAGTCTTTTTTTTATAAAAAATAATTTAAAAAATCCACGCCTATAGCTCTAGTCTTTTTTTTATAAAAAATAATTTAAAAAATCCACGCCTTTAGCTCTACGGTTTCTTATAACAAATATTTAAAAAATCCACCCCTTTAGCTCTACGGTTTCTTATAAAAAATATTTTAAAAAATCCACGCCAATAGCTCTACGGTTTTTATAAAAATATGTTAAAAAATCCTCACTTTTAGCTCTACGGTTTCTTATAAAAAATATGTTAAAAAATTCACGCCTATAGCTCTATGGTTTCTCATAAAAAATATTTTAAAAAATCCACGCCTATAGCTCTACGGTTTCTTATAAAAATTATTTTAAAAATATCCACGCTTATAGTTCTACGGTTTCTATATAAAAAAAATATTTTAAAAAATCCACGCCTATAGCTCTACGCTTTTTATATAAAAAAATATTTTAAAAAATCCACGCCTATAGCTCTACGCTTTCTATATAAAAAAATATTTTAAAAAATCCACGCCTATAGCTTTACGGTTTCTTATAAAAAATATTTTAAAAAATCCACGCCTATAGCTCTATGGATTTCTTATAAAAAATATTTTAAAAAATCCACGCCTATAACTCTATGGTTTCTTATAAAAAATATTTTAAAAAATCCACGCCTGTAGCTCTATGGTTTCTTATAAAAAATATTTTAAAAAATCCACGCCTATAGCTGCAATATTTTTTATAAAAAATTTTTAAAAAAATCAACGTCTTTAGCTAGAGTATTCCTTATAAAAATATTTTAAAAAACTCCTCCCCTTTTTGATGCAAATTTTTAATTTATTTATTAACAATAAACAAATAGTGATTATGCCTTTAAAATATTTCTATAATCTATTTTAACATTTTCTAACTTTTTACTAAATTTCTTGGTCAACATTTCGATATCGCTACGCAGTCCCAGATTTACACTGTGCAAAGTCTCACTTCTCTCATCTAGAACGGAATTCATTTGTACCCTGTAGGTTACCAATAATTTACTGGTTTCCATTTCAATTTTCGTTAGTAACGAATTCAAATTTTCCTTGAAACGCAATTCTTCATGCTCCAATTTTTCCAATGTTTTCTGCAAACTTTCAATTTGGGCTTCTTGTTGTGCCTGATATTCCTCTAGAACTGCACCAGCTGCACGTGTGATTTGTTGTATCTTTTCCTCGGAACACCCAGTGCATTCGGTCAGCAGATGATGATCTTCACAAATATAACCTAAGCGTGGCCAATCACATTTATGATCATTCCATCTATAATTCGGTTTCGATTCCCACATATGGACACAATGCTCAGCGTGTACATCATTATCGGGATTACTATCGGACCAATAGGAGAATGTCATACGTTTGCCGGATGAATGCCAGTAGAAGGGTCTATTATAATTTTTGACACCATTATATTCGTCTATGGCACCTATCCACAAATTGTGGGAGTTTCCTGGAAAGCAATTACGCATACAAATATCATTCAGATCTCCTTCTTTACGCATCGTTGGACTTACCAAAAATGGGTTTCAGTATGGCAATTATTTGATTATTTTTCTGCTCAGAATCTATTTCCACCAATTGCAGATTACGACGGGCACACTCATGAAAGGCTTGGAACCAATTATACTGTAATCAAAATGGATCCCCTATTTTAAAATATATTTTTTTTCATTATTTCAATCCTTACTTTCTGTTCGCCTTCAATTAAATAGCGTTTTCCATCAGAGCCGCTGTACCATTGCGGTACGCCCCTTGTAAAATGTGTAATTCCTATTATTAGAAATATAAATACCGCAGTTGATCTTCGGATGTACATATTGTTTGATTATAAAACTCAGATTGAAATATGCAAATATTATATTTTTCGAAAGTCGCAGTATTCTTATCAATCTATTAAAATTGTCCTATCAGTAGCAGACTTCAGATAAGGGTTGCCATTACTGAAAAGATTCGAGCTATAGGCGTGGATTTTTTTAAATATTTTTTTATAAGAAGTAGCAGAGCTGTAGGCGTGGATTTTTCAAAATATTATTTATAAGGAATAGCAAAGCTATAGGCGTGGATTTTTTTAAATGTTTTTATAAGAAATAGCAGAGCATAGGCGTGGATTTTTTAAATGTTTTTATAAGGAATAGCAAAGCTATAGGCGTGGATTTTTTTAAATGTTTTTATAAGAAATAGCAGAGCATAGGCGTAGATTTTTTAAAATATTTTAAATAACATTTTTTCAAGTAAATGTTTAAAAATCAGTGTATGCCTGCTATAGGTCAACGAAACGTTACACGTTCTGCAATGTCTGCAATAATATATCTTTTTCTGTCTGTGGGTTAATTCCTCCTAATTCGATGACCAATAACTGCAAACGATGAACAAACTAAAGGTGTTGAAGTTAGCATAAATAATGACCATCTCAAGGGTATATATATTGGTAGTAAAAACTAAAAAATGCAATAGTTAAGAAATTTTTTAAATTAAAAACTTAGTATGACAAAAATTTATTGTTTCTTGGCATTGCTACTTATTGAGGTGGTAATTGCCGAACCGCAGTGGTACAATAGCTCGGATGGCCGTCAGTATCTGATCGAGAGTGCTGCTAAAGTAAGTTGATGACATAAAACAATTTTTTAATAATTTCAATATTTATCTAACAGTCGGTTTTTAGTACAATTGGTTTAGGGCAAATCATGAATGTTCGCGCAGAAATTTACAATTGGTGGAAATTCAATCGGAATCCAAGAATCAAGCATTGGTGCAGTTATTGAAAAACATATTTGGTGGGTTATACGAAATTCCTTGTATTTTAGTTCTCCATACAAATAAATTTGTTTCCTCCAGGCAAATCGACCAGTCTCTGGCTTGGTGGCAATGATCAATTCAACACGGAAATCAGCACCAATCGTCCCTTCTATTGGTCTGCCTCTGGTAAAACTATGACCTATAGCTATTGGTATCCCGGTGAACCGAACAATGAACGCAACCAAGAGAATTGTGTACAGACCTTTGCCTATAGTCCCGAATTCCAGTGGAATGATGTGTCGTGTAGCAATCAATATGGTTTCATATGCGAACATCAGCGATCACATAATAAATATTCGGCAACACTACAAGAGAAACGCCAGCACGTCGTAAAGGCCATGAAGAAATTTTCCGATTTCATGCAACACGAAAAAGAGAAAATGTTGGATGTGGTACATCGTACAAGGAATCTGATAGCAAAAAATAACAATGAAGTAGAACATTTTTTGGAAGCACTGGAAAATAAAGCATCGCACTCAGCCAGCAGTGATGAAAAGGAAAATAAACAAGAAATAACACGATTATCGTCCGATATAAATGATCACATCAATGAATTGTATGAAAAGCTAGAGAATTCGACACCGAGAATTTCGAATAGATTGTCACAAGAATTAACTGAGGTGGAGCAGAAAATTGAAGATGTTCTTCGAAATGTTAAATTGTAAATTATTTTGAAAAAATATTAAATAAAAAATATGATTGTCAGAAAACGATTGTGTAACAAGTGAAGATAATTATTTTACAGATATCCGGATCAAACTAAAAATTACTGCGGGATGAAGGGCGTAATAATTTAGGGTTGGGCTAAATACATAAAAAAAATAAATTTCAAAGAAGAAGGAACCGGTTCTCAAAATGTTTGAACCGGATATTCTGATAATAAAACCGGTTTTTATACTTCATATACATATCATTAGAAAGCTAGTAAACAAACGTTCCGAATTTATTGAACCAGACTATTATCGGTTTTATTATCTAAATATCCGAAAGTTTTTTATTTTTTTAAGTATTCGGCTTAACTATATATGTTTTAGAAAATAATTCGGACGTATCCTAAAGATTCAAATAATAAGGTATACTGAATTTAGTGATAAGAACCGGGTAAACTCGGCAATAGACCATTAAAACTTTAAAATATATATTTCTCGTCTTTGAAGACCCCACCTATAATCTTATGAGCAAAATTTTTGTAGACTATTTCGAGGACGCAAAATGGCATTTTATAATAATTGTAGTCAGGTCCAATAAATTTAGAATGAAAAGGACACACAAGGAATTGAGTTAGACAGACGAAATATTCTACATAAGCATTCCTCATACGATTATACTGCAGAAATGTAACCTCAAGAAATACCTATAAATCGAGATATGAAGCAATCTCTTCATGTGTAATTGGGTCGAAAGCAAAGCAAAAAAGTCACGCTATATATCTCTGAACATTGATATATGGCCAAATTGTCCATATACTTACCAAGGTTTTTCATCTTCAATAGGAACTTTCCACCCGCCAGACCATGACCGCGATTTTGTCTTACAGTTAACATTTCAAGATCATATCTAGAGATGCAGCAAATTGGTCCATTACTCCGGGTAACTGCCCAACGGTTTTAAAACTTAAAAAAATTATAAATGTTGATCAATATAGAAAATGAACCCTATGAATTACCCTATACATTATTGACCAGTGAGCGGAGCAGTATAGTCGTTAGCCTATACAATTACCACGGAACACTAACTTGCTGATGACTTATATTCCGTGCCTGGGCAATATTTCGCGATATTTGCACCCTCTAGGCCGATTAGAGATATTTTCGGAATATTTTTTCTGGGGTGACCATTTTCGCCATAAGATGCCAATGTTGCCACTTTACACAGAAAGGTCTCGGTTTTTTTGACCCACTTAATATTGACCGATTAGAACAGTCATTCTAATTAGTTGGCCAGATTCCCTTCTAACTTGCTGATGACTTATATTCCGTGCCTGGGCAATATTTCGCGATATTTGCACCCTCAAGGCCGATTAGAGATATTTTCGGAATATTTTTTCTGGTCTCGTTTTATTTGACCCACTTAATATTGACTAATCAGAACAGCCATTCTAATTAGTTGGCCAGATTCCCTTACCCATGTGATGCGTTATGATGTTAGGCTTATTATAGTGGCCTATAGAGGGACTTGTAAAAACACACAAGATTGTGGTTAATTTCATGCCCTAAAAATCATTTGACCATATCCGAAAATTATAGGCGTCGTCCTTAACCATAACCGGAAATATATGCCCTATAATAACTCTCACATCCGAGTACATACATCAATATAATTGGTATCAATTTAAAGGTCAATTACTTCAATCAACTTCTGGGATCTATGTCTTTCAGGAGTAAATACATACGCCCCAGAATACTGCTCTGGGTCCATTTGACCCGCTAAATATTGACCGATCGTTATCAGATCCCCTTTGGGATCTTTGGCCAGATCCCCATGTAAAATTTCGTGATGTTAGGCTCATAATTGTAGCCTCTAGAGATACCAGAAAAATAGACGAAAATAAAATTTATGTCAATAATGGACAGACGGACGGACACACATGTCTAGATCGACTCAGATATGACAATAGGTATGCCTAAAAGTGGGTCTAGCCAATATTTCACGGCGTTACAACTCTTGGGGCTACACAAAGCTAGAGTATGAAAACTAACGTAAAATTTTTAAAATAAATATTAAAATTTAAATACATAGCTATCAACTTTTGATATGAGTCAAATTGGCTTGGTCCCTAAATCTAGAGTAAAAAAACATAGAGTCCATGTCAATTGGTTTTATCGGATTCATCACAGATCCGCTCCTTCTCCCTCTTTATTTTGAAAAAAAAAAAACAACATTTCGAACATTAGCTTCGTCTCCAGCTTGACGTCTCATCCTTCGATTTACACTAACTATGTAGTCGGGAGATATATCCCATACCTCCGTTTTTTATAGTTTCTCTGTTAAACAGGTGTTTGGCGATTATTTCATGGTAAAACCTACAACTGATAGTAATGTTTACTATGTTTGTTTCATAACATACACCTTTATCTTCTCTTGGTTCAGAGATTTATACAATGAGAGTCCAGATTTTGCAGAAGAAACGTCATACTCCACTTTTTAAGCATTCTTTCCACAAGGGATGCGAAATGAAATTATTCAAATTGTACTTTCTTTCAATAAAAAGTTTATATTTTTCACTTTTTTATATATTTATTAATAAAATTGTTATTATTATTAACAATTAACAAAAACATACATAAATAAATAATTTGTATATACATATAGGTAAGATACATCCATCCATTGCATCCCTGCTTTCCACCCTCTGCAACAACGATTCGGGGGCATCACCATTTAATACCAATTAACCCTTTCAGTGTTTTTGTCGAATATATTCGACATTTAAAATTACTCTCTTCCTTTGCAATTTTCGGTTATCCTACGTACCGCTACAATTGATGTCCTTGTTTTTGCTGAAAGACAGACAAAACTGTCCGAGGATTAAAATAAGAATTGCTTTTTTTTCTAAACTCTGTGCCTTCATATGATTTTAAGTACAAATTTTTAGATTTTTATTCCGACAAAAAATTTTTGTGACACTGAAAGGGTTAATAAGACCTTTGTTCTTTGTTATTGCATATTCCAAACCTCTGCATTGTTAGCTCTTTGTATTAACAAATAGTACACAATAATATCAAAAATCATTGCATACTTTTAGGAGTTATGCTAAAATAAAATCAATATAAAGATGATTTATGTTGTGTGATTCCATCAGAGGAATTATACGATTTGAAAATATAAATCAACATACAGTCGACGCCCGGTATAACGAATGATATAATGTCAGGTCCATTCGTTACAGCGAAAAGTTCGTTTTTTTTTAAGGTACAATTTTATTTAAAAAGAAAAAAAATTAATCCACTTTTCAATGGATTTCCAACAAAAAATATATTAATTAACGTAATAGCAGTAATAAAAACGTGTTTACATATTTTTTTTATGAGGCTAGCCCATTATTTTTAACGCCATTCAACTAAATTTGGAAAATAAAGGGCATTCAATGTGTTTCAAAAGACGTAAGTCGTCACATGTGACGAATCATGTATCTATGCGTATGAGTCCGAAACAAAGCCTCAATCGACCATGAAGGCCTTCGAAGGCTAGCCAAATCCAGCCAATGTTTTCCGCCCGTTTCTTGTTAAAACTGATCAAGTGGCGATTGTTCTGCTTGAGAAACGAAAGATGGCTGAGAAGTGCTCCATAACTTGTTTATCTTAAGTCTTTTGAAAAATTCAAAAAGCCACTCATTGTGCATCATGACAATGCGAGCGCTGACTTTTTGACCGCCAAAGGGTGGAATTGATGGATCACTTGCTGTAGAGCCCTATAGATCAAATTACTTCTTTTTATTCCCGAATAAAAAGAACTAAAAGTGATTAGTAGTTGTGTTCAATGCGGTTTCTCAATCGGGTAATTGATTTGAGCACCAGAAAAAGTATATACATTTGACCTGAGGTTCCGGTTATGGCCAAGGACGACGCTTTTAATGTTCAATAATGATTCGATGATATTTCGACGATTAAATGGACCGAAAACTTAATTTTTGTCTGGTTTTCTACTTGCTCTGGAGGACACAATTATAAACCGAACGTGGCAAATTTTCCAATGTGGAAGGTGATCTGATCCACTTAGTCGAATGGCTGGCTTTATGCTGAACGGTCAATATTTAGCGGGCCAAACCAAATTTGAATCTTATGGAGTAAGTTTTTACCATGGGAAATGAAGATTCCATGATGCCAAAGACGAGCTTTTCACCTTCAATCGGTCAAGAGAGTGCAAATATCGAGAATGGTGGTGGCGTCAGATGCCTGTTAGTAGTAACGCGTATACGTTAAATCTTCTTGACGGTTAGTTACCAAGAGAACGCAGAGGTTCACGTGGATCGCAGAGGATAGTTGGTATCTTAATGATTTTCGTATTGGTACAGCTACAACTACTTACGCATATTCCAGTGACAGAGTGTCAAGCCAGGGGAGCAAACCAACAACAACCTTTGCCCTTTGGTATATACGATCTGCGGTGTCCGCAGAGGGAACGTGCAGAGACTGACCTCGGGAGGTTGTAGGCCAACGAATTTAACTTAAACAAATATTTTTCAGCTATTTTGAAAATGCGGCTAGGACCATTAAAATAGTTAAAGTATGTGGTATCTTTATATGGAAATTGTATATTCCAGGTGCACCTTTATTCTCTAAAAATCCGAAAATATATAGTACATCTGCTTCGATTAAAATATATTAATAAAATCTTAATACATTCATGGACGTGAATGATATAGCATCCATATATTTGCTTAAGCTTAATGGTAGGAATGAATTTGCGTCCAATAATGGCTTAGTAGATATGGAATTTTACTCCTGGGGACTCTTGAGGTTTCAAATGGGATGATACAATTACATATACATAATTTTTTATTCTGGTTTTCATTGATAAATACCAATATAAATTCCCGCTGCCCGGAATGCCAAAGATATATATTATTTCTTAAACTTATATATTATTAAGTATGTGAACCGACTTCAATCATACACATATCAATCTGCTATAACTTAAACTTGCAAAACTTCATTGTAAACCG